CACTTATCTGAAGCTGTCCAAAAAGACATGTTTTTATAAGAAAGTTGACTTTGAGGAACCAAGCCATGTGTTAGCAAGAGCCTCATCCACCCATCAGGGGCACTAGCTCCAATTTACACAAATCACCATATAGAATAACCATATAGAGGCCCTGCAAGAGCTGCTCCCAACCCCCACCCCCATCTCACAAGTCAAGGCTTTGGTTGTGTTGGTTGCTTGGTGTCCAGAAGAGCTGTTGCTACAGTTAATTCCTCTTGATTCCATTGCCTGTCCAGTCGAGTGTTTTTGACTTGATTCCAAGACTTTTGCCTGCTGCATTTCATCTACAAAGAGCTGGTCCTCTTGTGAGTTAGTAAACTGTTCTTCATGAGGGTTTGCATCTTAAGATGTTCATCACTCACCCAGAGGCTTAGGGAGAACCAGGAACAAAAGGCCCTTTTTAAGAAACTCTTCCCCAGTGTTAAAAGTCAAGAATCCATCAGCCCAGGTGCTCCCAGTTCTGTCTACCTCCATCCAGCCCAAAGTAGAGTTGAAGCACTGAGGCCCAGCATTGACATTGGATGCAAACATTGCCCAGGGATATGTTGCAAGTGCTATCAGCCCTCTGTTGTACTCTTTCAGTCCCCTTTACCATTTTTACCAGCTCTCAAATTGCTTTCATCTCTACCCCAGTGCCTGCACCTGCCTCTGCTGAGAACTGCCTCCTCCACTTTGCCCGTGTGCGTGGAGAACCAGCAATGGCTGTGGGTTTATATATCTGTAGCCCCTTGGCAGCCCTTAACTAGTGAATGGTTGCAAGGGGATAAACACTCCAGCTGCCTTTCCCTAGGGTTGGTCCAATGAGGTGTCACCTACACTGTCCCCAGTGGTCCTTGTGGTACTGAGCCAAAGGTCCACTCTGAGGGGTTGGCCTTCTTGATTCCACCCTTGCCTGGCCTCCTCCTTCTATCTCATTCCCTCGCTCCCCTATCAATTTTTCCTGGGAATGCTTCTAATAATAAAAATCTTACACACAAAACTTCATCTAAGTGTCTAATCGGGGAAATGAAACCTAGAATGGGAACCAAGGCAGTTGTCAAGGCCAAGTGTGTGGGATACCCTGGTGCCCAGGCCCCTTCCTCAGCCTCCTCCATAATTTCAGAAGACATATGTCACCAGGTACCACTCAGGGCCAGACCTGAGCCACTTAACTCAGTCCACTGACTCTCTGTGGAATCTCTCTCTTGTATTTTTTCCCAGACCTCCATGAAAAATGATTTGCAGAGTCCTGTCTCTCCCACTCTCTGGTTAAACTTGGGCGCTGGTGTTCAAGGAGTCCTGAGATGTTTCTCTAACTGACAGTTTTATGGGGCAATAGCTGTTGGTGTTATATGTGTCCTCAGATAGGCTGGTCTTTTTATACTGTGTGTGTCCCCATAAAAATGATTGGTTTTAAGTTGTTATTCTAATATTGCTGTGATTGTAACATTGGAGCCGACAGTCTCCAAAGGAGATGCATGTCGAAGCCTGATGAAGATGAGTGCAGAGGTTCCATCAGTCTATGTGGCCGGAGGACAAGGCTGGGGGACCACTGTCCACCAGCGCATAGGGGCTCAAAGCCCATTGTCTTTATGTTATTACAAAGATAATGATTAATAAGTGATAGCATCATAAATAATCAAAGCCACCTCCCAGACTGGACAGAACCAGGAATGGCTTATTGCGGCCTGAGAGGAAAGGAGTTGGGCAGGGTCTTGGAATCCCTGGTCCCTGTCCAGAACTCTACCTCCTGGGTGAGACTGTGCCTAAAGCTCCCAAAGGGAATGTGGGGGGACCTTTCTTGGCCCAGCTAATTATCCTATGACGACGGGTACCGTGGGATACCATTAAGCAACCGAGTCCCTATATTGCCTGTCACCACCAGAAAAGTGAACCCTCCAGGGTCTTCCTTCTGGAGACAACCCAGACCAAGAAAGGAGCTAGACTTGAGAGATGCCAGAGATATGAAATAAAAGGGGTGGGGCTCCTGGGTACACCCTCCGATGGCAAGATGTGAAGAAACTACCTCAGGGATGGAAGGTGATTGATGACAAAGTGACAGCCATAACATCATTAAATGACCAGAGGAATCCCACCATGACCTTCCCCCTCCTGGGGCCACCTCCTCCCCAGATGCCCCATAATTTTTCAACAGTAGTACTAGGGAGGGGGAGAAGGAAATAAGGTCTTGAAGTCAGCCAAAGGCCAAATCATGTAGGGTTCTGTGGACCATGATAAGGAGCTACAGTTTTATTCTAAGCACCATGGCAAGTCATAGGAGGGGTATCAGTGAGAGAGTGACCTGAATTAACTTAGGTTTTAAAGATTCATTCTTTCTATTGATGGTAAACAGGCTGTAGGGAGCAAAGGAGGGACCAGGGAGACTAGTTGGGGGGCAAGTGCAGTGGTCACATGAAGCAAGAATGGGAGAGAGGTGGTCTTCCTAAAAGATGCTGAGCAGACAAGTCATCTCTCCACTAAGCTTGTCTTCTTCCTGTGTATCTGTTAGCTGCTGCCATGGAAACCCTGGGTAACAAGTCTCACCTAAATCAGTGGCTTAAAACCATCACTTGTCTCACTGGCAGGGCTGCAGGCTAACTCAGGCAGGTCTGCTCCATGAGTCTCACGTGGAGGCCCAAACTTAAGAGGCCGCAGCTACCCAGGGAACGCATTTCCCACAGTGTAAGTCAGAGGTTCCCAGAGTGGCAAGCTGCCAGAGTGGCCACGTTTTAAAACCTGGGCTCAGAAATCCCACCTTGTCCCTTCAGCTTACATTCCATTGGTCAAAACAAGTCCATGACCAATCCTGGCATCAAGGATGAGCTGTGAATATTTTCTGGACAACAATGAGATCTACCACAGTCCCTTTCCTGTTCCCACTCTGCTCTACTGCCCTTGAAGTCTCATCCTGCACCAACCAGTCCCTCCCTAAAAGGAGTAATGAAATATTAACACTTGTTAAGTCCGGCTGTGTGTGAAGTGCTTACATACGTTATTTCCTTTAATTCTCACAACAATTCTAGGAACGTACATCTTATAGGTAAAGAAACTAAGATTGAGAGAGGTATCATAGATTATCAAAAATACTCCAGGTAGTGTCAGAGCCAGGATTTGAACCCTGAAAAGCTAACTCCAGGGCCTGGGTTCTTAACAAGACACACTCATTTGCCTCCCAAGACCACTAATGCACAATTTTGGGACAGGAGACTCACCTCTAAGTACCCAGAGTCCAGAGCCTAGTGTGGGAAGCTAGGAAACAGCACAGGTTTTAGCTGGGTGAATTTAAATAAATTCCCAACTCTGTCCCTCAGTTTGCTCATCTGTGAAATGGAGATGTTAACACTTTCCTTACGTAAATGTGAAAAAAAATGAACTCTGCACACTGGCACATGGTGAGCTCTCATCAGTGAGTAGCTAGTGTTGCCAAAGATAGTACTAGGAGCCAGTGACCCACAGGCAGCATGCTTCAAAGATGTCCCTCTTCAGGACAGCCACATTTGTCAACTTCATACCCTGCTCTCCACCCCTCCCCACCTCTCCAAAAAAAAATCACAATTGACCCACAGCCAGAGATGATTCTGTCAACAGTCAACAGTGTTCATTTCTGAGTATCCTCATCTGTTATGTTGACAGAGAAACAGCCTGTAGAGTGTTTCAAGCCGTTTGGCAAACGCAATTAATCTCTTCAGCACTAAATTGTCTTTTTCTAATTGTCCACACGGACACCCAGGCAGAAGGAAAAAGGGACAGAATAAAAAGGCTATTAATGTCACTTCTTTGCCAGTAATGGGCTGTCACTGCATTGGAAACCAGACTGGGGTCCACCGACATGCCTCTCACCATGTCGTGTCCACCATTGTGTGGTGGGATACAGAAGCTCACCTGCCCAGGAAGTGTCCTCTGAGTCTCTTGCTGCATCCAGGAGGAGGTGTTGGATTCTAGGGCTGTGGCATACCCCTCTGAGCCCAACCACACTGGCAGTGTCGTCTCACCAGTGGACAGAGCTATAAGGACTCTTGCTGACCCAGGGTGAGTATCAAATGTGCCTGGAGGAGGCCTTGACAGCTTATACCACAAAAAACCTACACTTCTCCAACTCCTGGCCTGGTCCACCCAGCCATCCATCTTTCTGAGTTTCTGCCTAGGCTTTCTTTCTGCCATCCCCTGACCTTATCAACGTAGTTATGTCCTGAGCCACTCACGGTCCCCAAAACTAGCAGGAAGGGGAAAGCAACAAAGCTCCCCCCAGATCACTGAGCATTTTCAGCTTCGCAGTCCCTAGTAGGCCTGACTCTGACAGCATTCTCCTTAACTCCAGGAGAGAACAGGTTGTGTCCAGCATGCATTCTCCTCAGGGAGCAATATTCTCATTTCCCTTGTGGAACCACTTCCTCCTCTCCCAGTTTATGGGATTTATGGAAACTGGCCCTCCTCCTCCCCACCAAAGCCAGTGGAGGGAATGTCACCCAGGCCTGGTTGACCAGCTCATTCCATGGCCCTCCTGGCCAGTGGCTGGTTCTGAGACAGGCATATATGAACAAAGCCAGGACCTCTGCCGGAACCTCAGAGACAAGGATTATCTTTTCCACAGGACCACTGAAGTTAGAGCGGTGTCACCCTACAGCTGCTGAAAGCCATTATAGAGTCTGAGGAAAAGCCAGTATACAGGGGAAGCAGTGATAACAGATAAAGATGTGTTCTGCAGGAACTATTTGAGCTCCTCGATCCAACTATGCCTGAAGCAGACAGATCCTCAGGAGCTTTTAGCAATGCAAAGCAATAATTCCATTCTTTTTGCTTAAGTAAGTTAAAGTCAGAGTTTCTGTCACTTGCAATCCATAGAGTCCTGATTAGTAGTCTCTCCCTCAAGCCATTTTCCTCCCTTCAGTTCCTAATGTTTGCTTAGTCACCCAGGAGGAAGCAGGTTGAAATCAGAAGAAAAAGTAGTAGGAGTCCCAGAGAGCCCCAGTGTCAGGTTCCAAATGCCAACCTTCCATGTTCGAGTCAAGTCTAACTACAGAGACGCAACCTGCAGCTCTGCCCAGCCCATCCAGATCCCTAGGCCAAGCCTCCCCAGGCCCTATATCCAGGCCTTCTTCACCCCCAATTGTACCATGAACCAAAGTGCAGTTGGAACCGAAGGCACTACCCAATTTCCTCCTCGTCTCTTCCAGGTTTGGAGAAGGACATTGGTCCAGGTCACCCTCCTGCTGACACCTTGGGCCATTGAACAGACAACTCAGGTCACAATCTACCTGGTCTATGGGTTCAGCAGCCACCAGGTTCTGCCCCTGCTGCATTCCTCCACCCAGACAGGAACTCTTGGAACCATAGATTGTCAGAAACCACCAGAGGTATTTTCTGTGTCCTTTGGGAATATCAGGATGTGTATGGTGTGAGGAGCACAGTCCTCAAAGTCAGATCTGGGACCACAGGCAAGCCCCTCAACCTCCTGAAACTTAGTCCCCTCATTTGTGAAACTGAGGAAATGCTGCCAGTTTTATAGGAGTAGGGAAGGAATAAGTGAGAGATGAATGCCTAGCACAGGGCCTGACACAGAGGTGGCCCTGAGTAAAAATACACACTACATGGAGGGAAGGGATGGAGGGGAGAGAGAGTCGGGGAGAGGACTACTGGGAGGGGGAAAGGGAAGCACCCAGCATCATATACAGCATATTACAAATGCCCAGGACTCACTCACTCATTCTTACCACATCTCCCATTTTGCTCCCAGACGACCCAGCCCTTTCTGTATTCTTCCCAGGTTTTGTCCTGTCCAGTCCTGACTGCACCCAGTCAGCATCAGCCCTTGTCACCAATTACTCTGCAGCCACACACCCCAGCTCTCCTGTCTGAGACACCGCTGTATTGGTGATGTATCATCAGAGACAACCTTCCAGCTGCTGCTTAACCTCATCCCCATGGGCCACCTTGCCCATTCTGGAAATCCAGGATGCACTTCCCAGCACATCCCTATAGCTCTGCCCACCTGGGATACCAGGCAGTAGGAGCAGATGCTTCCATTCACAGAACAACTACTCTGTGCCAAGTTACAGATGGGTGCCAACTCAGCCCAGCCCACAGGTGTGTTTTGGTTGGCTTGAAAGGTGTTTCGATATTTGACTAACTTACCAACATTTAAATGACAGAAAATCTCATATCAAAATCTCTTCTACCAATCTAAAAGTCTGGATATACATAGCCAGGCAGCAGTGGCCCCTTTTGACCAGCACTGGGTTCCCGTTTGCCAGTCTCCACCAAGCTGGTCCCCGCAGACATCTGGGTTTAGGACTTGTGCTGTAATAACAATAATTTCCAGTGTATGGATTAGAAAGGAAGAAATACAACTGTCCTTATTTGCAGATGGCATGATTATCTACAAGTATGTAGAAAATTCCAAGGAATCGCATACACACACACCAGAACTGAATTCAGCAGGGGCATAGGATACAGGATCAACACAAAGATCACTTGTATTTCTATACACCAGCAATGAGCAAAAACAAACTGAAGTTAAATACCATTTATAATTGTTCAGAAAAATGAAATGCCCAGAAACAAACCCAGCAAAATGTTACAAGGATTGTGTGCTAAAGACTACAAAACACTGATAAAGGAAATCACAGATCTAAATAAATGGAGAAACATACTGAGCTCATGGATGGGAAGACACAATGTAGTAAAGATGTCAGTTTTCCCCAAGCTGATATCCAACTTTAGTGCAATTCCTATCAAAACCCCAGCAATATTTTTTTTTGTATATATGGGCAAGCTTATTCTAAAATTTATATGGAAAGGCAAAGAAACAAGAATCTGAAAATTTTTGTAAAAGAAAAGTAAAGCAGGAGGAATCATACCACTGACTTTTAAGACTTACTGTAGAGCTTGAGTAATCACAAGAGTGTTATTAGCAAAGGGACAGTCACATAATCCATGAAACAGATCAGGGAACCCACCGAAATAGCCACACAACGTATGGCCAAATGACTATTGGCAGAGATGTAAAACAATTCAGTGGAGGAAAGACAGCCTTTCAACAAACAGTGCTGGAGTATCGGGACATCCATAGGAAAAAATAAAAATAAACTCTTTGAGAGAAGGGACTTTCTCTGTTCTGTTCACAGCTCTACCCCGAGCACCTAGAACAGAAATTGGCACAAAGGTGTTTAGTATTTGTTGAATATTGAGTAGTTATAAAAGCTACCATTTTTTTAACGCTGGGTCCCGAGGACAGGTGTATTGCTACCCCTGTGTGATGGAAGACAAATGTGAAGCCCAGTGATATCAGAAAAGTTGCCTAATAGTTTCGTAACATACAAAAGTTGCATGTACGAGGTGGAACCAACATAGGACACACATGATGGAATTGAGTCTCCTTATTGACTCCTTTCTTCCAGTTAAGAAACTCAAATTCAGAGAGATTACATGCAGTTTTGAGGCCCCACGGTTCACAAGAGGCAGAGGCAACACTGGATCAGGAATCTGTCTAACCCCAGGACACCTGCCACTGCTTTCCAAAGCCTTTCTGGGTGCGGTTCTCAGATGACAAGCGGAGCCACCCGCTCCTCTCCGCAATCCCTAGCCTTTCCCATATTTGTAGGGAGCCTATTGACATGTGTGGCTTAAACACTGGGGCTCCTGGTGCGGTGCGGTTCACCAGGCCAGCTCACTCACTCACTCATTAATTTGCTTTCCACATTTCCAAACAGAAAGCGGCCGTTCCAGGCAAAGCAAATCAATAATACGCTCCGCGATTCATCTTCATTCGAACCACATCCTCATGCTGTCCCTGGTGCTTTTCACAGGGCCTCTTCCTAATGGGTTCCTGGACGCAGACAGATAGGCTTCTCCTCTGAGACAGCCAGGCCGTGTTCACACATTAACTCATTAATATCCGCATCAGTCATTTTTACGAGCCTCCCTCACCCCAAACTCCTCACCACGCCTGAGTTAGGCACACTCCTTGTGAGGCAGGCAGACACGGTAAAGATGGAATGGCCACTTCTGAGATTTCATTGGCTGCAAGCTTGGAAATATTGATTTTTTTTTTCTGCTTTGCTATAATCAACTATCACGCCCAGAGTTGCAGAAATTATTGAGATAGGGGCTGAATATGGACTTGCTGATTCCACCCACTCCATTTCCCAGAAGGTTTTCTTGTTTTCCTAGAAAGGGGAAAAAGGCAGTTTCCTGAAATTCATTTTTTTAGTTCATTTTAAGCAGAACACTTACTATTTGCCAACCAAAAGCATTGTACAAGCCACACTCACTGAGAGTAGGAATTACCATTAGCTCTTTCGCTGAGGAAACTGACGTCCTGGGATTTCCCCCAGATTATAGAGAACTTGAGCTCAGCTGTGACTAACTCCAGAGACCCTGCTCTTGACCATAGCCTGCCCTGCCCTGCTGCCCACATTAGGTCCAAGGGAGTGCACAGGTAGAAAGATAAAACATGTTAGCTGTTATGGTCAGAATGTAGTGTTCCCCCCAAACTTATATGTTGAAGCCCTAGACCCTAATGCAATGACATTGGTAAGTGGGCCTTTATGGGGTATTTGGTTTGGGTGGGGCATGAAGGCAGGGCCCTCATGACAGGATTAGCATCTTAGAAGAAGAGGAAGAGACCAGAGGACTCTCTCTCTCTCTGGCACCTCTTGGACTAACTACCAAGCTTCCACAACTGTGAGAAACAAATGTCAGCTGTTTAAGACCCCAGTCTATGATATTTTGTAACAGCAGCTGAGCAGACTAAGATATCAGAAGTATCAGTGTACCCTAGAGCAGGGCTGCGTGGGGATAGACGCTGGAAACCAGAGCATGGTGGCACTGGCACACACTTACACCGCCTTTGCCCACAGGCAATCCCACAGCCCTGAACTTCCCCACTCCTCAAAGCAAGACAGAATCACATGTAAGTTCCAGGAGGTTTAACTTCATTTCCAAAGGAGCAGATAATAAGTATTTAAGGTTTAGTGGACCATACAGTCTCTATCTCAACTATTCAATTCAGCCAATGCAGCACAAGTGGATGTAGACAAAAGATGGATGAATGGGATTGCTAAATTCCAGTAAAATTCTATTTATAAACACAGGTCATGGGCCTTATGCTCCTGCCCTGGTGGATGGGGCTTATGACTTCTGCACCAGTGATGCTGGCCTATCCCACACCACTCAATGTAGATGTGGAAATGTCAGCAGAAGGAGGGGAGAAGCAAAGTCCACATCAACATGGCCGATGAAATGCAAAACCTCTCCTGTGGAGTAGAAGTCAGACTGGAATCAGCCAGGGTAATAGCAGAAGACAAGCCTAATAATAGTAAAAGTAAAAGCAAAAATCCATACAGGAGTCTTCAAGGCATTCATCATAGTCTCCCCACCCCCCCACATACCTCTCTCATCTCATCTCCTGCTGCTCCTCCCCCTAAAACCTGTCCTCAGCCATACTGGTCTCCCTGCTTTTCCTCAAATGTCCAAGCTACCTCTCACCTCGGGGTCTTCACAGCTGCTCTTCCCTCTGCCTGGACCATACATACCACAGGGCAGGAAGGATGAGACCATATGGAACACAAACTGCCCCAGCTGAGGCCATCCTTGACCAGCTGGCCCCTGGCCCATCTAACAGCCATCCATAAATGAATCCAGTCAAGATCAGCCAGGCCTGCTCCATATCAACAGAACAATCCAACTAAATTGTAGACTCATAAGAAATAATAAATCTTAGTGGTTTTGACTCAATTCATTTTGAAGCTATTTCCTAAATGGCCATAGCTTACTGATACAGGAGGCTATGCCCACAACTTGCTGTGTGACTCTAATAAGAACATTTATTCTCTCTGGTCTCCAAATTCCTCATTAGAAAAATAAAAGAATTATAAAGAGTTTATGCCTTCCCTTGCCTGATGGTACAGCAATGTTTAGCACTATTACTCGTACCTTTTCCTAAAACTTTCTTCCCTTGGATGCTGTGGCACCACAGCCACATGGTTCTCCAGCTACTTCTCTCTGTTCCTTCTTCAGGGTCATCTCCCAGTACCAGGCTGTGACATAGTGAAGTTACTAAAGACCTAGACCTAGGCCCTCATCTCTCCTCACTATCAAACCCACAGAGCAATCTCATGACTTCAGTCACCATCTCTGTGCCTCACTGGCCACTTTTCCTCTCAGTCAGTCAGTGAGGGGGAATGACTGGTCATGTTTGGCTTAAACAACTCATGTTCTAGGAGCTGGGCTTGGGTAAGAAACCCAGCCTGAGCACATTGATTCTCCGAAAGTGGAGTTGTGATGCTGAAGAAAAAGGGAGGAATGACTCTCAGGTGGGCAACTGACCATGACCGCCACAGCAGAAATGAAGATGTCATCCTTAACCTGTCCCTCTTCCTGTACCAGACCTTACCCCATACCCAATTCATTACCAAGCTTTGTGTATTTTACTTCCTTAACATCCCTCAAATCCATTCTCTTCTTTTTTAGTCCATGTCCAGCACCCTATTCCAAGCAATTTTGTCCCTTCCCTGGTTGAAGGCATCAACTTCCCAACTGCCCCCTTTAACCTGTGTTTGCTCGCATAAGCTGTCCTTTATCCAGCAAACACAAAGTGACCAAGATGTCTCCTACTACAACTCTGACTTCTCATTGCTCTTATGATAAAGATAAGGCCCTGTGTGGACTGCCTCCTGCTGACAGCTCCTTCACGCTCCTGTTCCTGCCTCCCTGCAAACATGTTGCCCTGTCAGATTCCCTCCCAGAGGCTTTGCACATGCAGTCCGTTCTTCCTAGAAAACTCTTCTTTTCACTTGCACCCACCTAACTCCTTTTCATTCTGCAGGTATCAGCTTGAACATCACTTCCACAGGCAAGCTTTCCTTGATCTCCTGACTAGGTTAAGTCCTCCTATGATGCTCTTATAACCCTATGAAACTTCACTTCATGAACACATACCTTACAGCCATCTTAAAGTAATGAGTATGACTCTCTGAGCAAGAAGAACAAAGATCAGAGACATGACGCTCTATCAAACTTCTTTCTCAAAAAAAACCCTGGATTATCCTCAACCTAGACAACCTGGACAACCAATTATCCTCAGAGGTTAAATAAATAAGTAAATAAATAAATAAATAAATAAATAAGCAAGCAAGCAAACTTGCTTAAAACTCACAGCTAAAAAACACTGAGAAGAGATCTAAGCCCAAGTAGAGTGGACTTCAGAGTTTGAACTCACTCCTTTCATCAGTGGTTGTCTAAATGGATTGCATGCAGCTCTGGGGTTCAGCAGACATGAAACCTCATGGAATAAGGAAAAGCTAAGCAGAGTCAGAGTGCTGTACTTTTTGCCCATCTTTTAGCCAACATGTGTTCCTCCATACCCACCGAAGAAGTATGGGTCCTTATTTCCTTTCCTATCCACAGCTTTTCTCCTGAACCATGCACCTCAAAAATCTTGAACATGACTTCCTAACCTGTTCTTGATTTCCCTGGTTCCTAATCTCTTGTTTCCTAACCAGTGGCCACCTGCTTACCCCTTGGATTTGAAGCTCTTGCTAGCACATTTTCAGCTCTGTCCTCTAACTTCCAACGAGACTCACCAGTTAGATAATGCCTCTTCACACTGATCTGTTCTTCTGACTGATATGGCTCCTTCCTGGGCCAGGACCCCAATGGTTGACACATACCCTTGGTTCACCCTACCCTGTGAGTAGGACTGGAGTACATGGTAACTTTGAATAATAATTCATAAATTTGGCAGTTGAGCTAGCCTTCCTCTCCACTCCCAAGTCCTTGAGGATATTCAGTGTGATTGAACAAGTCCACATCTTTACCTCCCTGACCCTTAACTTCCCATCTCCGATGGAACTCACTTTCTATCCACTTCCAGCTACCCACACCCATGCTCATGACATGTTCAGCTTCTGCTTGAACTTGAATGCCAGTCTCTTACCAACCACAACTTCATGTCAACCAAGCCCTTCCCTTACATTCTTACTCACAACCTCTCCCTTATCTCCTGGAATAACTCTCCATCAGTTATTTCCACTTACCGGTATCTTCAACCTCTCCCTGTCATTCATCCTCGGCATTCGACCACAACAAATTCTTTCAGTCTGGAAAAAAACTAAATCCCTCCTGTAGCAGATGCTCTTAGTCTCCAACCATATCCCCTCAGCTTTTACCATGGGCATCACTTCAATCCAACTTCCAACTGCCACCACCTTTGTCTCTTAGCCTGAGGACTTCATCTGGCTGCAAAGCCCCCTATCCCCATCCACATGGCAGGCCAAAAGTGCCTGGGAATTAATGCTTCCCCAACTACCCAGGAACAACACTCAACCAATGACCACTGGGTGTTGGTGGATATACCCCAGCTTCCTTGACTCTGGGGGAGAATCTGTTGTGCAGGCTCCATGCTGTCTTCCAGAGCTACCCAGTGAGATTAAGCTCTGTTTTCCCGCCATGATTACTTTCTTGCTGGCACACCCTTTATTGATTTCCTTTTTTTTTTTTTTATGCTTCACTTCTACACTCTCCCACTAGTGTTTCTTGGGATCACTTCCAAAATAAATTACTTGCACTCAATCCTGCTCCTCTCTGCTCAGTCCAACATCTCCCCTGGCACTACAGATCCCTTGCTTCCCTTTCTTGGACCAGCATGTATATCTACACCCATCTCTGTTCCATACACTCTGCAGTCTGATGACTACCTCCAGTGTCTCATCAAAACTGTTTCTTCTACATCGGTAGAATGTCCTATTTTATTTGGCGTCTGCACAACTTTCAACATGCTGCCACTGTCTTCTCAGAACTCTCTCCTTCCTTGGCTTCATGACCAGTGTCCCTCTGCTTTTCCTCCCACCTGACTGCCATTCACTGTCAAGATTTTTCTCAGTTCTTCAAAATTCCAACTATCTTTTCAGTGTGGAGATCCCTACAGGCTCCACTACCCTTGGTCTTCTCCTCTTAGTATTAGGTTACATGCTCTCCATGGATGACACCTTCCCATTAGGAGTCACAGTTGACTTCACTGTGACTCTGCACACACAAAGCACAATTTCCAGAGTCAGGTCTTGAACTAAGCTGCCAATCAAAGCCCCCTAACATGTCCTAAACCCAGATCATTCTTTCCTTGCCCCATTCCGATTAATGATACAACCACTTACCCAGTTACCCAAGCCACCTGGAGTCATGTTAAACTGTTTCTCCTACTCTGCCCAGGATGCATAATTCACTGCCCACTCTTGTCAGTCCAGCCTCCTGAATATCTCTCTCCATCCCACAGCCATGTCCTACACCCAAGCCACCGTTGTCTCTCACCCAGATTGCTGCAACAGCATTCTTTACCAATTTCTCTGGTTCCACTGACTGCAACCCACCCCATCCTCTGCACTGCTGGCTGACTAATTCCTTCTGAAACACAAATATGAGCTCTTACTTCTTCTGCATAAGCCCTCAGTGACCTTGCCACCCTCAGGGGAGATCAAACCCCTTACCAGGTTCCCAGAACCCTTCACAATCTAGTCCCTGCCACCTCTCCAGCCTCATCTCTCACCTCTTTGCCTGCCTTAGCCAGTGGCTCTCCACCCTAGCTGAACATTAGCATTACCTGGGAGATTTTTAGAAAATACCAGCACCTTGACAACACCCCCAGAAAGTATGATTGACATGGTCAGGAAAGGTCAGGCATTAGGATGGTTTTAACATACAGCCAGAGCTGAGAAGCACTGGCCTAACCAAACCTAATGGCTTAGAGTTCTGCCCACTTATCCAGTGTTTGCCCAGGCCTCAGCTCCTGGGAAACTTCCTGAGCCCAGCTTCCCAGTCTGGGCTCAGAGCTCTCACCTGAGTTCCCTCTGCTTAAGCCTATCAGACATTTGCACACTAAATATTAACTGTCTGCACCACCTCAAATAGGTGATGACTGTCACATGGGGTCTTCACCTCTACAATATCAGGGCTGAACACAGTGGCTCCTTCATTGAAAATGCAATACATTTTTTGAATGAATGAATGAATGACCCCTTTCCCTTCTGGTCATAAGGATAGGAGTTTTATTTTCTTTTCTCTGCTCCCTCCTCCTCCCCTAGTTCCTCGCCAACACACATAATAAGTGCTCAATAAATATTTGTTGAGTTAATTAATGTAAGGTATGAGATGCAAGCACCCACCCCATCTTCACTTTTAGAGAAGAGCCCTGGGGAGCAGAGGCAAATCAGATTGAACTTTCTACAGTTTTGCTACAATGGAGTTTGCCAAAGACGTCCTGAAAAATGGATTTAATTAGGCCCGTTAATAGTGGAGTCATTGGTGGCTAAGATTTAAAGCTAAGGCTGAAAGTGGTATCGATAATTTTACTATTTCAAATTATACAGGAGGTTATTTCTCACTCCCACCTTAATTATAAGAATGCATCTCAATGAAACCTCAGCTTTGAAGGGAAATAAAGACAAAGATAGAGGCAAGGTCTGATATTTCACTGAAATGCTATTTTCACAGGTATCACAGCAGAACTTGACTGGCTCCGCCCGGGTGCTCGCCATGGGAGAAGGGGACAGTGGTACTGCACATCCAGGTCTCATTACACTAATGACTGTCTGTATAATTTGATGTGGCTTTTAACTGCAAAAAACATCCAGGCAAGGAAAACGATGCTATGGCCTCTAATGACAAAATGAAACTCTGAGTGGGCTTTCAGAGCCCCAGAATTTTTTGCATTCCATTTTTTCATTAGCCACTTTTAGAGACCTGAGTTCTAACTGGTTCCACAGTCAGATCCTGGAAGGGGCACACCTTTATCCCTCAGCTCCCTGTTATGAGAAATACTCAGCTGTCCCCAAACCACGGAGCCAAGTAAAAGAAGCTTCAGATAGCAGGAGCCTGGAATACCCACTGGAAGCTGGTCTTATCTCCGGGGACTCAGGAAAAGATAGGGCATCATTCATTAATACATATTTGTCCTGGGCAGAGCTGGGACCAGGATGAGGCAAGTGAGGCATTTATTTCAGGGGGAAAATTTCAGAGCACAAAAACTCAGGAATCAAGATCATTGATATTTTACTACAATATTATTTAAATATAATGCAGAAATATCTATAATGAACAGAATATCAACATTTTATCTAAGGACAGGATTTAAGCCTGCCCTTGCAGGACCTGCTCACTTGCCTGACCCAGTCCCAGCCCTGATTCTAGGCACTGGGATACAGAGTAAACTGGTCAAAAGCCCCCCTTTACATAGATGCTTGTGCAGGAAGGAGGCAAACAATGAACAAAATAACCAAGCCTGATACATAGGGCTAGTGAAGGCTGTAATGGAGAGAAATAAAGCAGAGACAGGGACAATTCCATAAGAAACATCTCAAACCCCTCCCCAGTCCAGACTTTCTACTTCCTTGCATAGCAAAAAGAACAGGGACTCCCAGGTTAGTCTAAGGGACAGATCCCAGCCCCACCACCCACTGGCAAGAGACCTTGGGGCTAGTCACCTGCTTCTGAGGTTTCACTCTTACATCCTGTCACCTGAGGAATGAAAAAGTGAAAGTTTGTAGTAACAAAAAAAAACATTTAGGAGCAATCCTTATGCACCGAGCTTATTATGTCCACTGTGCTGAGCTCATTATGTCCACTCCCTCACTTAACCTTAACACCATTCAGTGACAGTGGGTGTTTCGATTGTGTGGGAAGCTGACCCTTCATGTTGAGCTGCTGGCCTGTGGGACAGTGAGGCTTGGAGGCTCTTCAGGCCAAACTCCCAGTCCCAAAGCTCCTCACCTCAGACTGAGGAGGGCCTGCACCTCAGTGACCTTAAGCAAGTCTCTGGGTCTTTCTGAGTCTTGTTGTCTTCATCTGCAAAATGGGGACAACAACATGACTCCTTCCTCTCAGGACCAAAGGAGCCAGGCGTCAGACACCCGGTGGGCCTCATAGATGTGGGCACCCCTCCTCCCAGGTTCATACCGGGTGGCAGCACCTGTCTCCAAGGGGAGGGGCAGAATACACTGGTGAAGTTCAGATGCAGCCACTCCCCATTTGCCTGACACCCTCTTTCATGGATCATAAAGACTGAAGTCCAGCTGCTTATTCAACAGAGGAAAGAACAAATTCATTTTCATTCCTTAATATCCAATGTGACCTATTCTTTGTTGCTCACTCCTCTCTGAGATTGCAGCCCTTCTCGCGGACTTTCAATTTGGCCAGAGAGAGAAAATGGGCAGTAATAACAGAATGTCCTGCCCAGAGGATGCTGGGAGCCGAAGCACCACGGTGCCAGTAATCAGTCCAAATGAAAGATATTATGTCACCTCGTTTGAATTAAACAGATGAACTACAGTCTTGGGCCATTAAAAATGAGCCAACCTGCTGGATGGCTTCCAAGTGCTCAGTGCTTAGCACCCCACTAAGGTGCTCAGCTCCAACAGGGTTTTATATCCTCATTTTCTGCCAATAATTTCTCCTCTCTGAACGTGAAGGAATTATTTGATGAAAAGGCCACGCACCCTTCAGCAGTGGTGCAACTCAGGCCAGCCCAGCCCTCGCTGGCCAGCCCAAACTCATGCTAATTCTGTGCTAACTGAAAAGTACCAGGGAGCCACGTGGGAGGCAGCCAGGGCCAGTCGTCACACTGGTGACAATTAACTGCCCAGGCAACATATTCTCCTCTGAAAATTCTGGGGAGTTCCTCACCTGCTCCCCAAAACCACAAGGAGAGAGGCAGGGGTGCCTACCTTTACAAATGGGGAAAGTGAGACTGCAGAATCCAGGGAACCTGGGGTCATACTACTTAATCCAGCAGACGTGCCAGCGCAGGAAGGCCGCTGGGCCCGGCATTCCCCCTCCCCCGTGCTCCCCCTCCCCCTATCGCACTGAGCATCCAGCTCCTACACACTTTCCATCCCTGCCCTTCCATGACACAAGTGGCCTCTCCCTCAAGCTCTGCCACCCACTCGCTACCTGGCCCAAGGCAGTGCTTCCGCTCCCTGAGAACCTCTGTCCTCATCTGCAAATGTGTCATTCCAGGGTGCCCCCTCAGAGTCAGAAGAACAAGGATGAACCCCAGCACTGTTGCCTACAAGCCAGGAAGCTTTAGAAAGTCTCTTTCCACTCTCTGAGCCTCAGTTTTCTCATCTCTAATTTGAGACTTAATAACAGGAGCTGTTCTGCAGAGGCTCCTCTGCTCTGACACATAGCCCAACAGAATCCTGTCCAAGAGGGATTTGTCATCCTTCTGTGTCTTGAGGACACAGACCCTGGGTAAGATGTCACTCCCTTCTCTCATTTAATCCATCCTAAAATGAACAAGTCTGGTTTTCCTTATGTTTATGAAAAAGAGGCTTTATATCAAAATAGAATAATAGTAATTAAGCCTACTGAAGTTTCTATGTGTCAGTCCTAGCTTTGAGTGCTTTGCCTTTATTTATTCATTCAGTCCAGGCACTGGACTCAGCAGTGGCCCAAACACACACTCCCTGACCTCAAGGAGATCCAGAGCTGGCACCTACTAGCCTAATTCTCAGACAAGGACACAGGGCCAAAAGGGTTTGCATCACCTGCTTAGCTATACAGCTGGTCAGAGGCAGGCCTAGGTCTCATGCATGTCTGCCTGACCCAGATCCACACTACAGAGCCAGGTATAGCTGTGACCAGGAGCCACCAAGAGGCCTTGTGAGTAGTTTAGAACCACAGGGTGGATGTGCTGGGGCCTCTGAGCATGGAGTCCCTTGGCCATTGGTCTAACCAGATGGTTCTCAAGCTCCAGTGTGCCTAAGTGCCTAAGAATGTCTGAGGCACCATCTTTCCACAAAACTGCAGGCCTGACATATGAAGCAGGTTTTCAGGGGTTATATGGACTATGCAGGGTTTTGCCTCAGGTTAGGATGACCAACTTATCCTAGCTTGCTTAGCACCGCTCCATTATAAAACAAAGTCCCATATCTCAGAAAACCTTCAGTCACACACGGAACTGAGACCTTAACTGTTGAGCAGTGGTGACCGCCCTACATGTCGCAGAAGCATTGTTCTCCCTCCAGTCAGTACTTGCATCCTGCCTGAGGCTGACCTAGAGTCCACCTGTTCAAGCTCCAGTGCCAAGTGCATCCAAATAGGGAAGCGCCCGCTGCTCTTGGCCCACAGGAATGCCTCTTGCTACCCCATGATGATCCTCACGTGGCAGCCCAGTCAGGTGATTAGGAGTTGGGCTTTGGGACAAACAGAGGATGAAATGAGATGGCATGGTACAGTGCCTGACCAGCAGTGGGCCCTCCACATACTGTCCCTCTGCTGCTCAGCTCCTGTGAAGGGTGTTTCATATGCCCACATGGGTGCACTTGGCTCAGCGGAGCCCTCACCACATGTCCAGAGAGCAACAGCAAGTGCTCAGGGATGCTCCAAAGCAAAAGAATGGCAGTCCAATCCAGATGGAGCCAGATGAGAGGGCCTCCTGGAAAAAGATAAGGCATCCACCAGAATATCCCAGGAAGGTGCTCAGATAAGATGTTCTGCCCTCAAAATATACCCAGAATCTAAGCACTTGTCTGTACCTGCATGGCCTCTCCCTGGTCCAGGCCAGGCCCACTGCTACCTGAGATTCTTCCGTAGCCCCAGCTAGCTCCCACTCCCCACGTGTCCCCTCCCACTGGTCTCCACATGGCACATTTGCAAACTCCAGGTCCCTCATGTCACTGCTCGGCTGAAAACTCTCCAGCAGCTCCCAGCTCGCTAGCAGTAAAAACCAAAGCTCTGACCAGGACCCACCAGGTCCCAACCTCCCTACAGCCCCCTCTGTGACCTCTTCTCCCTATGCTGCCCCCTCTGACTGCAGATAGGGGCCCAGCACATACATATACACACATGTACAGGCACATGTCATATGCACATGCATGCACACACATACACACCATCATGCTCTCTCCCTTGGTTTTGCTTTATTTTCCTTCTATAACATTTATAACAAGATAAAATAACATTTATTATCCTACCTCAACTATGTGTTCACATGTTTTTGTCCATCTCTGAGGTTGGAGCTGACACTGCCTGACATGCAGGAGGTAGGTGTTCAGCAGGTAGGTATCAGCAGAAGGAAGGAAGGAATCAGAGTTCAGGGGATATTTGTCAAATAAATATATGAAAACCAGAAAAGTACTGTACTGAGTTAGAAGTGACTGGTGTGTCACACTCAGCACTGATATCTAACTTAGACAAGGGTTTCCTGCTAAAATATTGAGGATAAACATGGAGGTTGGAGACCTGGAGTTCCTGGGTTGTCTTCTAGACTAGTGGAACTTTTCCAGTAATAATCTCGCCCATCCTCATGATGTGAGAAAACATAGATTTCCCACCAAGAGATGAAGATGATGAGTTCTCAGGGTAGATGTTGGGCAAGAAAGCATCCCCAAAGCCCTCTTCAGAACCCACCAAGACAAAGCTAAACCAGGGAACCATGTTGGCAGAATATGGGCATGTGGCATATTAGTCTGTGTAAACTCTGCTGTAGTGACAACCCCCAATCTTGCTGGTTTAGTACAGTAGTAGTTTATTGCTCACTAACGTCACAGCATATTTGGTGGAGGATGGAGGTTCTTCACAGTCATAGATAGGCCCTAACTATGGCCCTATTTTCTGTAGGACTCTGCCATCTTCAATGCATGGCTTCCAAGGTCCCCACAGAGAGGGAAGAAAGGTGCACAGGAGATGTTTATGTCCCAGGCTTGAACATCTGCCCACATTCCACTGTCCCCAAGTAGATGCAAAGGGGTTGGAAAGGTACTCTTCCCATAGGCCCAGGAGAGAAAGAAGATGCTTCAGTGAACATAGAGCATTGTCTCTGACACCCAGGGGATAGGCAGACATGGTCTCCAGGACACACAGAGAATGTGACTGTAACAAGTTTTCCCATCCATCAGGCTGAGGTCTTGTCGTCTCAAGGAAAAACAAACACATGAGGGAGAGGGAATCTGGAAAAAGGTCAGAATGTGCATTTGGACGGGAGAAGGGTTCTGGGAGCAAACAGCAGTAAAGACCGGAAACCAGAGAGGCAGTCTGGTGCTTGGGTGAGAAAGGAGCACCTTGGAGAAACCCCTTCCCCATTCTTCCCAGTTGTGCCATGAGCTCAGAGGGTGATGCTCCTTTTGGCCCTTGAGTCCCAGCATCTCTGGAAAAGCCAGGACACAGCACTTGGACAGGGCAGCCATGAGATGTCCTCTTCACCCCAGAAGGATTAGAATTTCTGCAGCAAGAGATGTCTCTGTGTACAGCAGAGGGTAGCTGAATGTCCCCAGGGAAAGGAATTCATAATATAGATGACCGTGATAATTAGCACTGACAGCACTGATAACTGCTAAGGGGCTGGGCAGCTTCCTCTCCTGCGAGAACCTCCTTTCTCCCCCACCCAGCACCCCAAACACAGCCAGTCCTGCCACAGGCAGGCTGAGCACCAGGGCCACCTGCCTGCTAACTCTAAGGCAAGAGTTTCATTGAATCTTTATGCCCCTTGATCTTTTGAGGATTGTGAATACCCTGAGAGTCTGAGGCAAACTATGATGCCTTCCCTAAGGTAGGAAAAATCATACATGTAGCTCATCGAAATTTTTGCATACAACGTCAATGAATTCCCAAAGTCCTTAAAATCCACCTATGAACCCTCAGGGGTCAATGAATTTCTTCATTCACTCAGTAATTCAATGAACATCTATTAAGTGTCTGCTAATAAGTGCCCAGTGGGGCATTCTTGTCTACAGCACTTACTCAGCTTGCACAGAGAATTGCCTATAGAAAAGCACAGAAAGCCTCTCCCCCAGCACAGCAGGCCCAGCACACTAGAATCACCAGCTTTTTAAGATTCTGATGCCAAAGCCTCACCCCAGACCCATCAACTCAGAACCTCTAGAATTCAGACTCGAGTTCCCTGGCAGCTCCAATGGGCAGCTAAGGGGATGCCTCTGCTAAAAAAAAAAAAAAAAAATTAATGTGTATGTTAAAAACTCCTGGGGTTGTTGCAGTGTACAGCCCAGGCCAGCTCATTTGCCCACCTCATGAACAAGCACCTGCTCTGTGCCAGCACTATGCTGGGCACCATGTTGGGCACCAGGGGACAGGGAGGAGAATAAGACATCAGAACCCCCTTCCTCACAGAGTTGACCTTCTAGCTAAGGGAACCAGCAGTAAGTAACCAATCCATAAAAATAACTGCAAATTGCAATCAATGCCACAATGCCCATAGAAAAAGGAGTGACATAAGGAATAATAAAAGGACCTTCTTGGGGAGGCCTGGAAAGGCTTCCTGAGGGACACTTGAGATGACACCTGAAGGGCAAGAGGCTGAGGGAAGAGCATTTGGGTGGTAAAAAAACAGCTACACAAGGGCCCTGTGGTAGGGAAGAGCTCAGAATAAGAAAGCAGCCAGTGTGACTGGGTGTGGAGGTGAGGAAGGGATGTGTGACAGGGGACCGGATAGGGCCATGCAGATCTAAGAGAGATTTAGGTTAAGCTACTGACTGTGATACTTATTCTTTGCTGTTCTTATAGCCACCTCGGCAAGGAGCAGGAGGCTCAGAAGATGAAGTGACGTCCTAAAGAAAAGAAGCTCAGAAGGGGCTTGGCTGGGATGCCTGCCTAGGTCTCCTGACGTGGCCAAGCAGAGGCCACAGGCCTCTCAGAAGTTGGTTCTCACAGCTTCTGGCCATGGCCCCCTTTGCTGCCCAACTCCAGCCCCGACCGTTAGTGTAACTAGTGCCAGGACAGCATTGTTCCCTCAACTCCCACACTGCCCACCTCATAAGCCCATCACCATGGGAACCAGGCCAGCCAATCACAGCACTCTGTTTTGAAAAGGAGTCTTATAAATTGAGCCTCCTCTCCCTAGACAAGCACACTCATCATCCAGAGGTCTCCCTGGGCACCTTCCTTCTGGATAAACCAGTTCAATTGCCCCCTACTTTCCACCAGGATAAAGAAGGGGACTCTTGTGCCTGGAATGCTCAGGGTCAAGATGCAAGTCTACAGTCACCCTGCTTAGAGGGCCAGCCACCCCTGCAGCCATGCCATGACACCAAAGCAACTCAGGAGCCCCTGAGAGTTTCCAGCAGTAACATGGAAAATGCCCGGAGCAGTGAGAGCAGCTTAAGGAGCATGCGACACTGCAGCCTGGAGAAGAGAGGTGACATCAGCCAGGTGAGCAGCGGGTATGCAGGGGATGAGGAGAACAGCGAGGTCAGCCTGGTGGGCAGCAGTCGAATTGTGAGGTTGAAAAGAAGACTCAGAACCCAAGCAGGTGGCACCCCAACCAGACAGCTGTGCACCACCTACTGTCCCAATCAGGTGAAGAGCCAGGTGGCCAGCCAAGCCAACAGCACCCAGCAGACTGGAGGGGAAAAGTGAGACTAACCTGCCTGGCAGCACCAACAACAGCAGGGCCAGCAGCCTGGCCAGCCTCAGTTTCATCAGCCCAGGCAGCAGCTTTCTGACCTACCAGGTGAGCAGTGGGCTGGTCAGTCCTATGAGCAGTCTTCCCTCCAGCCAAGCCAGCAGCTGCCAGAGCATCAGCGTGGACAGCAATGTGCAAAGTGGGCTGCAAAGCAATACCAGTATCCAGGAGGACAAGGCAGAGGAAAGTGTGAAAACCAGAAACCAGGTCACCGAGGAGAAGCAGCCTGCCCAGAAGCATGTATGTTCTTGAGAAGATCCTCAAAAAGAGCAGATATGAAGACTCAGCAAACCCAGACTTCACCCAGAGTGGTTTTGCCAAAAGAACTAGAAAGACCTTTAGAAAGTACACACTGACTGTATCAAAAATCATCAATTAAAATAGCTCCATCTGTAGCAAAAACAGTCAGCAAGAGGGTTGCATGTAGCAAGAACTATTGATGGCAAGTGCCACCTACCCTGAATCAGCACTCTCTGAGGAGATCATCTACAGTGACAACCACTGTTAGAAAGAATGGTTGGGTCAAGATCCATCAGTACAGGTCCGCCTGTGTCAGAACCACCAATGGTACTAACACCAGTCCCGTGAACACCAGTGACAAGCCATCTCTAACAGTATCTATCAAGAACAAAACCATCACTCATTAGTAGGGACAAGCATTATCAATGTTATGTGCCAACTCTATTAAGAACCATCTGAAGTTAGAACCTTCCATGAAGACATCATCCGAAGTAATGAACACCATCTACAACCACCACCACCCATCATGGGCTCAGAAGAAACAGCTGCCAACCTCTTGACATGACTAGAGGAACCACATCCCTGATAGGCTCATTCCTGGCCACGCTCTGTTGACATGTGCCCGCCAACAGAAGCCCACAGCATCTAAGGAGGATAGGACCGTGCCAAGGGAGCCGCATCCCTAGGGAGCATCAACCAAGTTGCTTTACACTGTTATTTTGAGCACTGTTTCTAGCAGCTTCAGCCCAGAATCTCCCCAGAAGCAAATGTTCCCTAGTGCCCTATTTGTGTCTCTATGTGGACCTGAGAAGAGGAAGAGACAGAAAAGGAGGCCAGAAAGCATCCTTTGTTGAGATGGTTGAGACCGTGCTTCTTATGGCAGGAAATGTCATGACAAACGCTCAGTGATGACAGAGACCAACCCAGCTGAGAAGGCTGCAGTGGGAGAGCTTTGGGCCATTTAGAGAGCATGCTCCATCTATGCCCCCTCCTTCTCAGGACAACAGCGCCCTTCCCTGGGCTAACCACACAGACCCAGGGGAGTGAGTGTGTCTGCCAAGCAGGAGAGGCCAGAACAGTCCTGAAGACATTCACCAAGTACCTAAAGGAAAGCTGAGGGGACACTGAAGACAATAAATGTGTCTGGAGAGGTTCTGTGTGAGTCTGTGCACATGTGCCCAGCTGAGGCTGCATGCACAGCCAGAAAGATGGTAAAAACCCATGGATAGAGTAGGGCTTAGCTACCAACTCTGCTGCTTCTAAGCTGGTGAAAGGATTTCTGGGTGAAATGCTTAAACTTGCCAACCCTCAGTTTCCTCATCGGGAAAATGAGAACTATAATGCATTGTATACATAGATAGAAGGGTCAGGTGAATTTCATGAATACCCATTTGAAGTCCATGGCAACTAGTGGGCACTAAATGTTCCCTTCTTTTTCCTCACTATCTGTAAAATGGGCACATGGTCTCTGTCTTGCTCCACTCACAGGCACAGAAAGGGCAGTGACTGAGTATGGAGAAAGGGTTCTTCGCATACACACAAAGAGGTGGAACCACAGCATCTGCTTAGTAGTCACAATGGTTCAGCAGATGATTTGGATGGGTTTGAGCGGGAAAGAGTGGTCCCAGATTGATGGGCCCCTTTTGAGTACAGTCTCCCCCACATTCCTCTGGGCAAAGTTGCTCAGCAGGTCCTGAGCACCCACAAGCTAGACAGATAAGAGAAGTCCACCTTGGTGAGCCCTGTCTGCAGGCGGCTCTAGGGGAAGCTTAGCTGCCTCATCCCCCGTGGCTGCTTAGCCCTCCCCTTAGGACATTCCCCTGCTTTACAGTCTGAGAGAACTGAGGGTCACAGCAGCACTGGACAACTGCACACTACAGCCCTCAGTCCAGAGGCCACAGACTCCTGGGACACAGCACAGGTGCAACTGAGATTGCCACCTGCCCCTGGCCACCCCCTCCTATGCCCCTGTCAGCAGGTGGCATCATCCACTCCAATTGTCCAAGCCCAGACCCTGTGTGACACTGGAGTCTGCCCAGCCCTCACCTCAGCCCCACATCCCATTGGTTCTCATCCCCACTGCTGACCCCTAACCCATGCTATCGTTATCCCCCATGCCAGTGGCTCCTGGCCAAGGCTGCAGATTAGAATAACCTGAGGACATTTAAAAATATAGACATCCTGGCCACCTGCAGAGACTCAGATGGGGAATTGTGGGTGGGGGATACCCCCTCCCTGGTTTCCTCCTGGGATCCACTTTCAATCCCTGGGGTCAAAAATGGACACACCTGCTGGGGCCAGGAAGGGGAGTGGGCTTTGAGAAACTGGAGAGTGTGTGTCCGATCTAAAGAGAAATCAAAAATTCAGAATTCTATGTAAAAATCTCCTAATTTTAAATATTGATCACAAATTCAGAATCTTTATAAAAGTGAGTGGGGGGGAAAATGAAAACATTTCAGATGCAGGATCAGGGCCATACATCTTATGGCTTCTGCCTCTAAATGGAGAACAGAGTGTTCTCTGAAACAAAAATCTGCTTGTATTTATTGACTGCTTAAAAACTTCTAAGATTTCTCACTGGCCAAAGGATATGACATCCTGACAAACTGACCTAAATATGTTCCCTATTTCCTTCTCCTAAATTTCTACATACTATCTGAAACCTGATTTCAAGCCCCTGGGCCTTTGCATGTGCTGTTCCCTCTGCCTGGCATAATTTATGTGCAGTATAACTAACTCTCTTGTGTACAGTTTTATGATCTTTGACTAACACAGAGAGTCATGTATCCACCACCACACCTAGAATAGCAAATAGCTCCATCACCCCCAAAATCCCCTCACGTCCATTTGTGGTCAGTCCCTGCTCCCTCCTCCATAATCACTGGCCAGTTTTCTATCCCTACAGTTTTCTAGAATGCCACACACATGGAATCACGCTGTGTGTAGCCTCTGAGCCTGGCTGCTTGTGCTCAGCACAGGCACTTGTGACCCACCATGCTGTTCCTGCCCCTGTGTTCCCCAGTTCATCAGTTCTCTGGTTGAAAAGCATCCACTCCAGCTGTCCAAGCCTGGACCCTGCCTGAGACCCACATCCCATCTGTCCCCAAACAACTCCCCACCCCTACTGCTGACCCTTAATTTGGGTTGTTCCTAGTGTGGGGAGACTATGAAGCCACTCATAAAACTTTACATATAGGTTTTTGTGTGAACATGTTTTTAATATCATTTGGATAAATGCCTAGAAGTGGGAATGTCAGGTGGTTTGTGTGTTTGATTCCATAAGAAACAGCCAAGTCATTTCCTAAAAGTGGCTTTACTTTACAGTTTTCAGCACTTAGTCTTTGTCACAGATTTGGGCTTTCTGATTTAACAAACACCCTGTTCATTATGTTAAAAACAGGAGGTGGTTTGTATCGGTCTCCTGTTGATTCCATTTCACACAGGGAAACTAAAGCGCGGAGCGGCTGACCCTTCATAAGTTACTGGCAAGGCTGGAATTTGAACCCAGGCCACCTAATCCCAGAGTCCATGGCCTTAATCATCAACCTCGCTTTCCTCCCCTCTCTGTTTTGGACACCCAGGGCCCCTCCTTACCCAGGCAGCAGGCTGCACCCATATGCAGAGCCCCCAGCCAGCTGTCTCTTGTCTCAGTCCCTAGGTTCAGTGCCTCCCACTGTGCATGTCTGCCTCCATTAGGGGAGGTGCCAATCCATGCCCCTCTGTATCCTTGATGCCCACTTCCATGTCAGCAGCATCAGTGATGGCCGAATGAATGAATGAATGAATGAGCAAGTGAGAGAGTGGAGAAGGAATGGATGAATCAGAGGAAGACAACTGGGTCCTCCCGCTGGGTCCGAAAACCAACGTGGCTCAGGATCCAAAAGTTAAATTTGGTTCAGTGTGCACGCGGAGCCCACAGACCGCCATCCTCCTCCCACTGTCTGCCGCACAGATGCATGCCGGTTCTCTCCCACCCAGGACGGCGGATGTAGCGAGCGCTTGAAGTGAGGGTCATTTTTCAAGCAGGCACAGTGATTTTTTTTCTTTCCTGTCCACTAGCTCAGCGATCAGGGTGCAGCGGGTTTGAAATGATAGGTTGGCTGCAGGCCCTGGCTCCTAAATTATTAACTGGTTTGGGGAGAGAGCTGCTTACAAATGCTGTCTATCCAATAGACCACGGCAGCTCACAGACTTCCAACAGGCCTGGAGTGTGCAAGCAGAGAAGGGAGGGATTCAGCAGATGGGGCTTCTTTTCCTGAGCCCTCCCTGGCCTCCATCCCCTGGCCTAGCAGGAGGTCATTTTTCATACAAGCAGTGCCTGACCTCCTATTCTGCCCATTCCAAAGCCAGTAGGTGAATGGATTGAACCTGGTCATCGTGGTTCTTTCTGAGCCAGGAGGTTGCTGGGTAAGCAGGGCTCTCTTGCTGAGGCTCATCATGGGTGGGGCCAGGGAGTAGGGTCCAGAGATGGGTCTCTAGGGGCAGAGTCTGAGACAGGAGTTCTTGTGAGAGTTACCAACAAAGAGTTCCAAAGAAAAGGGAGTGAGGAAAGAGGATGGGGAGGAACCAGGGCTGGAGATCAGCCTCAGGCTGATCCTGTGGGGAGTTCAGGAGTGACGATTGCAACTTGCAGCTGGTTCCACCTTCCATCACAGGGGTGATCATTCATGCCTCCACAGCCTGGGTGTGGGGAGCATAACCTCCTGCATGAAAT